ATATCTTGCGAAGGGAGCGAGTTACCAAAATTCTATACAAAATAAATTATTAAGTCATTTTAAGTGATCTTTACAATGCTACCATAAACATTTGGGGTGAAATTTCGGGTCATAGGCACTATAAACCAGTCTATAAACAAACCAGACAAAAAAAACAAACATAAAAACAGTAAAAAAACCCCCCATATAAACCAATCTATAAACCAGTCATATAAACCCTACATATAAACCAGTCTATTATCTGTCCAGTTATCTATCAAATGCATGTGGTCTATTATGTTTATTAAATCAATATACGCGGCGGTACCGTCTTATAGTCACGGTATAATGAGTCTTCATGGATGAATTATTAAAGATGAATTTATTAAAGATGTATAGAATATATCTACTGTCTTGATATATAGCCACATGAAGAAGAACAAGCAGACGACCACTATATGCATGAGAGCAGTGGATCATCATTATCCAGCATGAGCTCCAACTGGGAATTTACCGTATATCAGTAAAATTGTTAAACACTGAAATTATCAATACAATAATTATTATTATTATCATTATTATTATTATTATTAACGAGAAAAAACGTCCGAAATTATCAATACAATAATTAATATCAGTATAATAATTATTATTACATGTTGAGCTTTAACCCTAACCCTAATATTATCTAAATCTTTTTTTTAATAATCCGATGTTTTTTGACGTCGTTTAGATGGAATGATGAAAAAATGTTTTCATTTCTTCGGACTGAACGTATAATTCGTTTCTTTAGAATTATTCCCACATAAATATTTAAGAGCGACTGTCCGTAAAAATCGAGCAAACAGTGGCAATAGTATAGATGAAAAATGGATTTCTTTCATATCAGTTTTGCTCAAATTTAGGTAATACCTAGTTATAAATGGTGTTTGGGTTAGATATTCAATATTTGGTCGATAAACGTACGAATTGCAGTTTCGATTCTATGGCACTTTGGCCAGTTTGAAGCGGATGATTATCGTTCTCGCTTCTCATTAATTCTGGTGTGAGGGAATGCGGAAATTCCTCAAAATAATGAACTGCGCGAGTGTGCGAAACGACATGTCTGTGAACGTCTAGCGGCCAAGCCATCAGACGTCCATTGCTACAATGCTCTGCTTAAAAATATTTTTGTCACGATGCAAGTGAACTAATACCGCAATCAAAGGAATTTAAATTTCAAATGAGATCCCAAGGAAATAACGAACGCCGGCAAAATTGTCGCTTGCACATTTGGCTCTGCCAATATTCTTCGAATTTTCGAACATTTCCCCAAATGGAGGACGAACCCTCGAACTCCAGTTTCATATAATTAGGTTTTAATTGAGCACGAAATTTCATATTTAAGCGGCGAGTTGAACCAGTACTTGCAGATAAAATGACCCAAATATTATTCAAATTCTTAAATTCGAATCTGCAATGAAACAATATATCTAATTGCTGTCACCACATTTTCCACAAGCCGAAAAGGGGGTTCTGATAGTCCGAAGACTGGTAATCTCATGGGATCGAGGTTGGGTACACCCAGGAAAATTTTATTAATTTAAAACTCTTTGACGACATATCCCAGTCGCATCGTTGCCGAGAGAACGATGGCTGATATTTTAATATCTTCGGTTCAGTGCATGCTATAAAGACAGAAATACCACCATTCGATTCAGAAATAAAAGATACAACTAATTCCTCCCAATAGTTATAGTCATTATCAACATTGTAACGATTTATCGGCCTTTGAAAGTCAAAACGATCATATTGTATCAAATTACGCAATTGTCTGAACAAAAATATAGACTAGCCATACCTTTCGTCGAAAATAACTTCGGCGCCTTCGAACATATCGTCTTTGTAATAGTCTTGTTCGAATCCCCATCAAAAACACTATTTATAGTGTTATTTGCAAGCCTGTATCTTCAAATATGTATATTTTATCAATATATTTCCATTTCTTGTCCGACTGTGAGCTCGAAGTGAGTTAATCCCAACCGGAAGTACGACGAAAAAAACGTCAAAACAATGCGACGTTTGTATCGTATGACCCTGAAAAGGCCAGAAATGGTTCGGAAGGTCAAATTGCACCTACACGCGTGAGTTTGACGTCATTCCGGCCACAAAAGCTTCTTATTGGCCAATTAATGCGAAATGTACGCATGTGCGAGTAAAACCTAGCCTGCGCGCAGACTATATAATGACATATATATGTCATTATATAGTCTGCGCGCAGGCTAAGTAAAACCCAGCATCTTGAAAAATTCAAAATAAATATTTCTACTCGCCGTATTCAAACGAAATTTTGTACACGAACACGCTTGAATACAAAGAGTATTTTACACATATAGCCGTTCAACAAATGACGAAAAGTTCAAGAGATATTCAAGATTTTCTGCATATGAAATTTAGAATCTTTGGCCTAGCGGTGAGTGAATATATGATTTTTTTTTTTTTATTCGCCCAAATTACATTAATATATACATACAAATAAATCGTAAAATATGATTGTTTCGGTTTGTGTAATGTTTTGACGGCACTTGACCCCCCTTCGAAAGGTTATTTTGTGAAGATTTCAATGGTGGCTGTTATTTAAAAGGGGGAGGGGGGTAAATACTCGCCGAGATATTTACAATAGAAAAATTAAGTCGAAACCGTACTGTCGTTGTTTTGGACTTTGTCCAGTTTATTATATAGTTCATGTTAATTTATCATGGTAATCGACTTTTGTCCAGTAGCATTGAAAATAGAGAGGTCAGAGGACAGAACGAACACAAAACGTTTTTGAGGAACAGGGTTTTTTTCCTGTAAAATGTTGAGTTATACTAAATAAATATATGAAAACCTCATGGTTAATGAAAATTACACGCCGTCTATAACAAAGCTGGTCCTTCGTTGAGCCGGATAAGAAAGAAAATGCCAGAAGTAAGCGAAATTGACAAGTGTAGAGCGAAGAGAAAAGTTGCGAAAGCTAGCGTGACAAGAAATATGAATCGTGTCAGAGAGCTGATCTCTAGCGATGGAAGTGTTTCGAAAGTCCGACAGTTTGCCAAAGGTGTAGAAGAAGGTCGTACGAAAGCCCGTGACCTTACGAAAGAACTGGAAGAGCTTGATCCAGCGTCAGTTGAGACTGATGGTAGCTGGTTAGAAGAGGTAGAATTTGATGTCAACGAAGTCCTGGGAGAAGTTGCTGAATATTTATTAAAGTCTGAGAGCCCATCGCCAAACGAACAGTCTAGTATTGCATCACCAACTGCTCAGAATAATGATGAAAATACTGAAACTGTGAACGATTCAATGTCTGGGAAAAGAACTGGTCTGAAAGGTGTTGAAATCCCATCATTCGATGGAAAACCAAATAAGTGGCCGTACTTTTGGGGAATATTTAGTTCTCTTGTGAGGGTCTCCCAGGGGTTTTTGGGGAACAAGGGAACACTGTAAATTTTACAGTGGGAACACGGGAACAAAGGAAAACAAAATTAGGGAAAAAGGGAACACGAAATTTATTGGGGAACAGGGGAACAAAGCCCCTTTCCTAGAATATATACAAGTGGTACAATGGCCTAATGTATTGTAGATGAAAAATAGGCATAATATATCGTTTTCTCCAATTTGTCCAACCATGCAGCTAGTGTACTTGTGGTATACTGTTCTACGGGCTGCTTGAGGATGATAAGTGAAGTTTCTCCTCTAGTCAGATTTTTGAGCAGCCATCATGACTTTTCTCGGTCACATTTTGCTTGCACCTGAAAAAGCAGATACCAACGGCAACGCCCTTCACAATCGACGCAGCAATCACCAGAATCGAAGAGGTATATGACTTCGATTATCAGTACATACATAGAACAAGTCAAAGCCTTCCTTAGAACAAATACCCACAGCCAAGGTCCGCAAGGAAACGTTTCTTCAGTCGTTGTGGAAGACGAAACAAGAATCTTTGGGAGAAATGCGAGGTCTGCTTCAAAAGTATGATCCACAGCTTTTAAAGTTGTTCAAACTTAAAGCTTTTTGACGCTGGTAGTCGAGAATTTTTTCTCCGAGATGAGGGCAAGGCATGTGATATGCCAATGCAGTTGCAGTTCGACTTTCACTTCAGTCGAGCAATGAAGGAGCACTTGAATACTTCAAGTCAAATCTGACTTGAAGTATTCAACTCTACCAAAGATGGCCCCACCTTCAGCAGCACAGTTGACAAAGTCACAAGTGCAGCAAATGAGAGACTGGCGCATGAAGTATGGTCAAAGTGTCCCACAGAATACCGTGCGGAACATGAGCACTAAAGACAATCTGGGTACTCTGCCGATAAATCTCTATGCCCTGGCACAGCCAGCTAGCGAGCCTTTGGAATTCTCGAAAATTACAGAAAATGGTACCCAAACAGACACACACCATGCCAACACGCACAACATTCTTCATTCCACTGGGGACGTTGTTTTTCTTGCCTCGTACGCCAATTGTGGGCGGATGATGATCTACCGTCTACAAGAAAACGTTAGTGTTTCAACAAAGAAAGCAAAAGCCACCATTTTTGAAGGTGACCCTTTCAATCCACTTATATTTACAAAAGTCAAAGTTGTCAAGGTCAATGCGAAAGAAATACCTGGTTCTCAAGTGGAAACCGTTTGCAGGAGATAGCAACCTTGAACTGACAGAGAATGAGTTTCTAAGATAGCGGTCGAGAATGATTGAATGTGTTCATGCTGTACTTGCTGTGACGATTGAAGAGGCGAGAGAAATTAGAGAGCGCCAGGATATCGACCAAGAAAGTGCAACAGATACAAAGCCAAGACGTGCAAGAAAGACACCACATAGGCTACTGACGATTTTGTATATTATGATTAGTAAAGGTGATACTTTAGTACTTTAATCGTTGGAACAATTGAAGAAACTATAAATGCAATGCTGTTCATTAGATCTATTTTTTGTTATGTAATCGTAATACTGTCAATACTTCCACGAAGTCAAATAACTATTAAACATTATAGTCTTCTTCAGTATTGTATTTTTCAAATGAGCAACATCTGCAGGCTTGTGATTGTATTTTTCTGTTTAATTTTGTTAAAGTGAACATATGTATTAATATAATGGATGATAGCGAGGATAAACTGTCAAATTTTCTGAATAACAAAATTTAATTTATAAAGGGGAACAAGGGAGCATGGTTAAATTTTGGAAGGGAACAAGGGAGCAAAGGGAAAATTTTGAAGGGAACACGTGAACAAGTACCCCCCCCCCCCCTGGGAGACCCCCCCC